TTTTTTTTTTGTAGTTTCAAATTTTGTGTTGACATGAACTCTGCTTTTTGTAATTGTAGAATTTGTGATTTTTTTTTCTAATTATTTGTTTGGTCTTAATTTTCTAACTTTGTTAATTTTATACTGGTAAAAAAAATAATATTTTAGCCTATGTTACATTATATTAGTCTAGTATTAATCTTATTTTAGCCTAAAGTAAGTTAAATTGGTTTTATAATAATCAACTTTGTTAATTTTATACTGGTAAAAAAATAATATTTTAGCCTATGTTACATTATATTAGTCTAGTACTAATCTTATTTAAGTTTTTATCAACTTTTCTTTTTAGATTATTATGTCTCTTTAATGTCATTTTTGTGTTTATTTTTTATTATTTGATTAAAATGGATTTTATTTGAATTATTTTATTTAAGAAAATATTTGATCATGTTAAACTTTCATTAGTTCACTTGATACGTAATTGAACTTATAGATTTCACAATAAGTTTATATATTCTCTGAATTTTTAAATAAATGACAAATGTGTTGACATCGGACTTGGACCTTGAGGGACCCAAAAGCAAAAGCACCAACAAGACATCTCATGGGATAATTAACTATCAAGTAAACAAAGTTCGGCGGCCTAGATGCTGACGAGCCCTAAAACAGGTCGGCATCTGAGTGGAAGGAAGTTCGGGCTCAACAAAGAACAAGGTTGCTAGGAATGATTTGTAGAATCTATTCTCAGATCGGCAACGTGGTACCGAGAGGACGAAGTCGACCTCCATAATTGCATAACATTGAAAAAAAAGACTGGAAGACGAAGACGGCCATAAGTGGCAGAGAAAGTCCGGTCTGAAGAACCTTTAGGATCGGACCCGAGTGAGCACTCAGAACCTGGAAACGATAAAATATTGCCACTTGACAAGTAATGATTTTTGATGGGACGCGCGGCATTAAATGCATCCCGTGTGTGCATTAAATGTTTGGCATGAAATCATTAGTTTAACCTCAAATTTCATTTAATATCTGTCAAAACAGTACCAGACATGTCATTCCTGGTTACTGTATGAGCTGATTGATAAGTCGTATTATTGGCATGTTAATTGTCATGTTTTCCATACCTTTTTGGTATTTTTTTAGCTTAAGTATTGATTTTAATTGATTTTTATAGTTTTTGTAGGATATCTCAGAATTTGGAATTTTATGATAATTGAAGGGCAAAAGAGACGAATTGAGTTAAGGCGTGGGCACGCTAATTTCCTATAAGAGTTGGAAGAAGGAAGAAGTCTCAAGTTGGAAAGAGAATAATAAAACCTTTTAGGAGTCTTTATTTATGGACTATTATATTTTATTAGGATATTTTGGAGAGAGAATGAATCTTTTATTATTTTTTACGTATCTTCTGCTAGGATGGGATTAGACTGGTTTGAATAAAAACCAGACTGTTAGATTTATTTTAGATCTATCTCTCTTCTCCCTCTACGCACGCTCTCTTCATTGTTTTTTTTCTTTTATTTTTCATAAATAACGGGAAGAAGACTCCCATGTTTATTAGAGAATTAATTTATTTTTCCAACCAAATGATTATTCTAGATTTAGTTCTTCATGATTTGTAAGATATAATTGAATTTCTATTCCCTATTCTCTTTTATTTATATATCTCTTGTGATTATTATCAATTTTGTTTTGATTTATTGATGCAAACTGGCCATTTGTTCGATTGTTGAAACACATATCGTTATTTAAGACGGTTAAATCCGTAATTGTTTGATCGTTCTAGTATTTATGGCAAATAGCACAGTTGATTACTAAGGGTTTTCGATTGTATACTTAGTAAGATACATGATCTAGCCTAAATGATCCTACATGTGCGTTTGTTGGCTAGAATTGGTGGTCCTTAAAGATTTCAATGTTGATGATAGATTAAATCATATGATCGTATCTAGGGTTGTCGGTTGATTAGAGAAATAATTAGAGATCGTATCTTGGTTATCGAACAAGTAAGAAATGATAGGTTATTAGGTCGTACCAATAACCATAACCAGTTTAATCGAGAATATGAGAATTATCTTTGCATCCGTGATCGAATCGTTGAACCATCTTTACAAGTTTTTCCTTTGGTTGGATATCTTCTCTTTTCTAATCACTCATTTTGTTCTCGTATCTTGTTAGATTTTTATTTATTTATTTATTTTTCTTAGTTAGATAAAATCATCAAACTCTCTCCCCCCCCCCCTCCCCCATCATTTTTATTTTCATTTCTTTCACGAATAGTTGCATTGATGCTCTGTCTAGCTAATCCTTGTGGATACGACCTTGCTTACTACTATTACAGTTATTTTAAAAGCAAAAATTTTTATTGTTGGATTCGACAACCATGACTGACAGAATGAACAGTAGCCGGCTTCTGACAGTATAAATAGGTTCCACCC